TGTTCTGCCTGACAGCGTGCTTGCTCCCGAAGCTGTTCTGTCTGACAGCGTGCTTGCTCCTCTTGGCGACGAGCTTGCTCCTCTTGGCGACGAGCTTGATCGTCTTTCAGCTCCCGTAGTTGTTCTTCTTGGCGGCGCGCTTGCTCTACCATCATTTGCTGCAGCTGTAGCAGAAGATCCACCTGCACAGGTTTGGCTTCTGCATCGCTGGTTTGAGCTGCAGCACCATCTTCCCTCACTCGCTGCGCTTCTGACATGGCACGGGTACTCACTCCTCTTACGTCCTGCGGCACTAGCGGCATTTTTCTCCAATCCCACTTCTGACACCAAATGTTACGAGCCTGACCTCACGTTCCTGACTATGCGGGCTTGGGTTACGGGATTGGATGAAATAAAACACTAATACCGGTTTTAGACTTTCTATTGCACCTAGATGACAGCGCCCTCGGAGTTAAGTTATCGGCGTTCCTCTCCAGCAGAGTCCGGGCGACTGACACAAACTTCCGTTTGCCGCTCACTGTTCACGCTGACTTTCACTTAACTCATTGCACTTCACTATTTCACTCACTGCACTATTTCACTCACTTTTCTTCTTTTTCACTTCTTCCTTTTCTTCCGAATCGCTTTGGACTTAGAACTCAACTGCCAGCGGTGAGCCGCAGTTCCGCTTATATACCCCCGGTCAGGTTCTGGAACATTCAATTTCGTTATTCTTTTTGATCGTCATGCCTCCAGAACCTTCCAATAATTTCGTTATTCATTTTTATTTATTCTCCTTCTCGCTCTTTAATTTTTCATTTCTTTCACACAAATAATTCCAGAAAGTTCGACAAAACTTCTATCAACTAAAAAACTTCATGTTTACGGCGGGACTCGAACTCGGGGTCTCTGTGGTGTAATCCACATGCCTTACCGATTACACCAACTCGTGTTGACAATTCACGACGAAATTTACAATCTCTAGGCAACGTTTGACAACCATCCATTGACGTCATGATGTCAAAGAGTTTGAACCACTTTTCCGTCACAATATCTAGTCATCTAAAATTATATTATAAAAAGAAGCTAATTGCTATGTTTAACGGCCTACTCCGGCAAGTGTTTGACGAAAAACTCGACAAGTTTCAAGCCAAGCTTGGGGCTCATATTCATGAGTAGCTTTGCGCGACACACAACGGTGAACGTCGCGCAGCTAATTAGTTATGACACGACAACAGAACCCCCTTATTACAAAACAAGATTTATCTTTGTTATAGGTTTAAACCATTGTCTTAGTTTTTTGTATTTTGAATCTTATTCTCACCTATTCGAAATACAAAAACTAGCTCAATGGTTTAGATTTAGAATAAAGAAAAACCTTGTTTGTTGATTGATGAACAGTTGTGTTATGTTATGTTGTTAGAATTAGGTATTTAAAGTCTTTAGTTTTATAAATAGGTCTACCTACCCTACCCAACCTACACTGAGACTCAAAACCGGAAAAAGAACATAGACCCTACCCTATGTTCTTTTTTGGTTCTAAACTACATCACCACCAATTTTCAACGACATCAGTTCAGCCGTTCTTGAGTTATAAATAGTGTAACTAACACGACTTTCTTTTATAGGTATAATTTCAACTTTCATTTATAGGTTTCATAAAAACAGCACAGGAATCTTATGAATATTGATCACTTTGATGTCCAACCGGATGATCTGAAAGTAATTAGCCAGAACGGCTATGATCAAAACATGAACGGTCATGATATGAGCTTAATGGAATCATCTAGATACAATTCCAAATTCGACGCATTTACGGACATACAATTCTTGACGTACGATTTACTGTGCCACGCGCAAAATCTTAAGCTCTACCAAAGATAACAGATCTAGTCCAAAAAAATAAACTCAAATCAAGTAGTTAGATACATAGATAAAATGACTGGCATTTTGCACTCCAAAAATCATTACCTACTTTCAATATATTATTTAGATCATATCTCTCGTCTGATAAAGAAAACATTTACACATACAGTTTATAATATAAAAATATATCAGTAAATGTGCCTTTTTTGAAAAGGAAAATACCCCTATCATCTTCTTTTCATCCGTCCTTGAGTGGATCAATAACGATTGTCATCATTAACATCAGTGGTAGCCTGATGTCTCTTCGAGACGCACGGTTTGCGCATCGTGCCGTATGCTCAGGTCTGGTTTTGATTTCTCGCCGTCCACAAACAAGCGGCCACCGTAAGTCTACTGTCTACAGACGGCGAGTAAGGGTTGCCGCTCGACCAGAACCAGACCAAAGGTGGTCTGAGACTCAAAGAGTCAATAGACCACCACAGACGGGGCCCTATGGGACTGATATTCAGACGGAGTTGCGGGGCAAGAGCAATGAGGCACCGTGGCCTCGCTCCAGAGCAAGAGACGGAACGGGGGAGTTTTAAGTCAGTAAGAGTCTGACACTCTCTCTCGCCTTACCCTGGGCGGGAGAAGTCATTTAATGATTATCCCCTGACAAAAAAAAAAGGAGTCTGACACTTCCTCTTGCCCGATCCAAGATGAGCGAAGTCACTTGATGACTAACTTCACTTAGAAAAATGAGAGTCAATACGGTTGTATTGACTCTCTTTTTTCTCTGCGCTCGACACCGTTGTGTCGAGCGCAAAATCCGTTCGACATAAGATTTCAGTGACCGTCAGATAAAAACGACGCTGCAGCTGAGTACATAGCTTTATCTAAGACAAGTTATGTAGGAGCTCTTATTTACATAAGGGCGTAACGTTTATATTTATATTTATTATTAATACTTGTGGGGTATATAGGGAAATGTGGAAAAAAAAAGTGTTTTTTTTTTAGTAGTACATTATATTTTGAAAATCCTATCTTGTAGGTACTACAAATAATGTTCTTTGTTTTAAAGTCGTTTAAAATAATGAGCTTCGATTTATAACGCCCAAATAGTACTGTAATTTAACAATTTCACGCAATCTTAGATATGTTGTAATTTGTGTCGTCGTATTTAATAATATTCAGACTACTAACATTTTTTTACTACAATACACACCACTATTATAATTTTTCTATTTCATTTTAAGCATTTGTTATTTCAATTGTGGTACACGTTTTTTTTTTTAATTCCGTAACAATCCATCGTATGACTTCTCCAGCACTCAAGTTCCCGCGATTCTTCCTAGCTAAAAACCGCTCCGATCCAAAATCTACTCCGAGTGGTAATCTTATACATCGAGTCTGGTTCTGGTTCCAACAATTCACCTGTTGCTCACTGTCTGCAGATCCTCATGACACAGCCCAAATAGGCGCAGTCCCCTTGACCCCATTAAACAATCCAGACGCCGGAAATCCAAAAATGGCTGATAGTGATCGACCAGAGCCTCACCGAAGTTTGCAGTATTGTTGGGGACGGCAAGATGAACTCCGAACCAACATTGAGAATTAATGACTTATCCAGGAAAGTTACAAGCGCGACGGCGCAGATGGCAGTTTTATATAAAGTGCAAAGCTTGCTAGACCACCAAAGTCTTTGTAATCTACAAGACCAGCCTGACCTCTCCCATCAAATACAAGACCTGATGCAGAGGATCACAGACACAGCCCAAATAGGCGCAGTCAGACTATGAAAAAACACATTTTTAATACATGAACATAATAATTAATGTCTTGTTAAGATCCAAACAGGTTTGATTCTCAGTAAGATAAGTAAGAACGTAATAATACAAAATGTATATATGTATTTCATCATTGCTATTAATATTGTAACGCCCGACTTAATATTTACTTCTGTCCACACTGAGAACGCCTAATGATCTGTTTTTAATAGTTTTATTTGACGTATTTTACTCTTGTCAAGCCGTTAAGTTAATTGTTTTCTTAAGAATTATATTTATTCATGCAAACAGTTCTCGTGTGATTTTTTCTGTGCTTTGTGTTTGCTTCGATTTCGGCGTAGTTTTGGGAGCAATGTGATTCATCTTCCGTATCAATCAATTATATTATCTATTTTTTATTAATTACTTGTCAGATCTAATAAAAAGTGCAACTAGGGGCCTGGTGACCCACAGACTACCTACTAGGGCTGATGTTCAGCAGAGGTTGCAGGGCTAGCGCAATAAGGCACCGCGGCCTAGAAAGGGGGGGGTTTTAGTCAGTAAGAGTCTGACACTCCCTCTCACCCAAACCTGGGCAGGAGAACTGGTTTGATGATTTTCCTATCACAAAAAAAGAAGCCTGGTTGGTAACCTTTAACACAGGTATTAGTATTTTGACTATTAGATTAAGCGCTTTTTTATTCTGTTGTAATTTGTGATGAAGGAACCATCCTGTTCCTTCTCCTTCAACCCTGGCTGACTCACTTGCCTCCTTAGAAAACCATCGTTAACCATAAACAAAAGGAGGAGAGGAGGTTCCCTATATATGCATATGTTCGTATATGTATGTGCACAAGGCATACTATATAACAGGTCTAGTATTTTGGTTTCCAAAATTTTTATGTAAAACGTGTGTACGTAGTTACACGCAAAATGTATTTGTATAGTTAAATAAATGAGATTATTATTTTGTTGAATGACTCCAAATCTCTTATCACGTATAAGTACTGTTATGTCACAGACAAACAGAGGCGTGTCGTGTTATTTGTATTACAAACTCATTGAACGGAAACTTTCAAAGAAACGTCAGAATTTTTATCTAATTTTTCTATTTATTTTTATAAGGCACGTGTTTTCATACCAACAACAAGTCAAAAATAAGTGAAACTTTTTTTTTTTGTATTGGTCGGCAAACGAGCAGGCGTATTACCTGATGGTAAGTAATCATACCGCAGACAGACACGCGCACCGCCCAAGAAGTGCCTAATGACAGCGTTGCCGGCCTTTTAGGGATAAAGTTTTCGGATATTTAAAGATTGGCAAGGGACGGGAGAAGGGTGAGGGATTGGGCATCCGGCAACCTCACTCACATAGCGAAACAAAATGCTGCGGTTGTTTCATACCATTTTTCTATGAAACCATGGTCATGATGGCCATGGTGCCTCCGGTCGAGTCAACCCATTCGTGCAGAAGCTTTGCTCTCTCACACTTCACCACCACTGCCACATCTTGGCACTCATACCTAAAAGACATATATCAAGGCCTATAAAGTTAAAAGAGAACGTTTCTAAAATAGTCTAGATACACAATTTCAGGTGAATTCAACCCAAGTCTGTGTGTGTGAAATTGCCGTATGCGCGCTTTTTACTGTTGGAATTAATCATGAGTACGTTACATTTACATTTGGATTCCTATGCCTCTGGAAGCATATAAAGTCTGTATGTTAAGTCTGCATTCCAAAGAGTTATCATATTCGGGTCGAATTGAAAACACATTTTTGTCATAAACTTGACAAAAATAAGAACAAATGTGGTCCAAGGACGTTGCCCTGTGGAACACCTGTTTCGTTCATTTTGACTATTTTTTGTTTTTGTTTCTATTATTTTAATCGGCTTTTTTGGCGCTAGACATTTGAATACCTTTTTGTGATCCATTTAGAGTCGGCCTGTACACGACCAAATTTTGGTAGCATTTTCAAAAACCTACATAAAAAGTAGTTAGAACCATTCCATGAAAATTACGAAAGATTGCATTTGACGAAATAATATGTACATTTTTTGAAACATGTAACACCTATTTGCTCACCTATGTACAACAATAACGAATTTGGTATTTGTACTTATTTGAATTTTGAAGGTTGTTACACCGAAACCTTTATTTTTTATCGGCTTCCTGTAATATCTAGCTTGTGTACCAAAAATCTTCAAAGGTTCTCTTCCCTGGACCCTTGACTTTTGTGTGTGTTTATGTCTTTGATACTTCCCGTTATCGATGGGATACTGCTTTTATATTTGAACTAGCTACTCTCGCGCGGTTTCATCCGCAGCTCGGCTCCATTTAAACGTAGCGTTATGCTTTATAGCCTATAGCACTCAAGAACATTGTAGCTATCTGATTCTATCAGTGAAAGAATTTTGGCAATCCCACCAGCGGTTCCAAAGATTATCCCCTTTTTTTGTCAGGGGAAAATCATCAAATGATTTCTCCCGCCCAGGGTTAGGCGAGAGAGAGTGTCAGCCAAGCCGATTACCCCCTGCATACAAACTTACAAATTTTACCTCTTTGTAATATATTAGTATAGATAATTATAATAATGCGTTGTCAACGTAAAAGTTAAGTAAGTACACCTACAAGATTTGAACGAGCAATACATTAATGAGCGGTTGCTCTATATTACTTTACCATCAGGCATCGAATTTCGTATGAGATTAATTCACTTTTTTCTTTAAGTGTATTTAAACTTGTCCACCGACCGTAATACTGTTTTTTTTTATATCATAGGTCGCCAAACTTGCAGACAGATGACCTGATGGTTAATACTTTTTAGGCTGTGTTTTAGCTTTCAGCTCCTGAAGGGAATTGACTGCGCCGGAACCATTCGTCACTATCATCAACGACCTGTAATGGTCTATCAAGCCAGACTATGTGGCTCCTGTATATTTACTTTAATAAAGCATTAAATAGTGTAAATAATCTCCACATTTAGACATCCAAGATAGAGATCGAGACTTCAAAGGATCAGGTTTATCAAAGAACTGCTATTGTATTTTTTAGTCGCGAGTTCCTCTCACTTAGAACTTTTTAAACCATTTTTAGTGTGGGAGAGCCGTACTTGGGCACAAATGGGTCGGCTCGACTGGATTGATACCGCGGCCTCACAAAAAACCGGCGTGAAACAATCACAGTCTCTTGATATCCCCAAAACGTAACTCCTTTGGTGTTGTGGATGCACATGGGCGGCGCCAATTGCTTACCATCAGGTAATCCGTACGCTCGTTGACGACCTATAAAATAAAAAACTAATATAAGTACTTAATTCAACTTCCATATAAGTACTCTTTCAAGTCGTCATAGATGTGAGCCTGCTCTAAATATCACACACAATAAAGCCTCGATGTGTATTGCTATGGTGTTTTCTTTGTCTTTTCGACGAGCGCGCTCGTCGAGTCAACACCTCCTGAGGATGCCCTGTGGAGGGGCGAAACACGTGTCGAGTATAGGTTTGATTGCGTGGCATGTTTTCCGTTTTGTGTATGTGTGCATATGCATGTTACCCTTGCTGCATGTGCATATGCATGATTACATAGGAGTGGGATTACATCCTGCAACAAGCCTGGATTTTTGTCGCGGAACTAAAACTTAATATTTTCCCTAACATTTAATATCATGGATTTCCGCAAAGTAACGCCTGATTCTATAAATTAATCCCTAAATATCCAAAATCCTACAAGGTCAACGCACTCGTAACTGTTTCGGCGTGCTGATTGCTTACCATCAGGTAATCTATGTGCACGTTCTCCGCCCTATCACATAAAATAAATGTATGTATAACTGCATATCTTAAAAATGACATAGCATAAATGTATCAGCAATTTAAAGGAATTTTACAGCTTTCTATATAATTTTTTTATATCACTTACCGCACTGACGTCACTTACATCAGTAATTAATTTTTTTTATATAGATGACATGACAAAATTCTATATTTCCAATAAGTACCGATTATGAGAGATAGGTATAGCCCTTAATCCAATTTTTATCGTAACATTAATATGCCAATTTAATTTGCAATAGATTTAAATATCAATCAATAATTCTGTATATATATTAATGTAGTACCTAGTCCAAACTATTGGTGTCAAATTTGGTACAGACATAGTTTGGAACTCTAGAAAGGACATAAGGTAGGTTTTAAACCAAAATTCTGCAGGAAGTCACTATTCCACGCGAACAAAGTTGCGAGCAAACGCTAGTTTGTGTATTTATCTGTTTTCTCTTATTAATCTGTTATGCATCTTAAAAAAATTGGTTGTGATTAAGCTTAAAATTTTTCATAAGTAGTAAGTAGTATTAGAGTACGTAAAGAAGTAATTAAAAAAAAGTTTACAAAAAAAGGTAAGAAAATTTAAAATCGTATTCCGATAGAATTGAAAATTCCTCGTGTGAGAAGAGGCCTTTGCTCAGCAGTGGTCCCTTGTTGATGGTGATGATGATGATGATTCCGATAGAAATGATGACTTTTTTGGCAGACACATTTAAAAAAACTTACAAGTTCCTAAATAGTGTCTCAAATATTATCATTTCAGCCATTATCACGTGGCTTCATTTCGTATAAAAAAACTTTGAACTTAATTTTATTTCATCCATAAATTGTTTCTAAAAATAACAGTACAGATTATAGCAATAAATTGGTAGCGTAGGTACCTATATCTAAAGTGCACCTCTTCACTTTATATAAGCCGTCAATATATTATAATATTTTTTTATAATTTTAATCCACACAATAAATTATTTATAATAGTCCTTTAATTTTTTAACGCGCTACAGATTCTTTTGTTCTTTCGTCGCCATAGCAACTTTTAAGGGAACAATAGCGATAGCCTTTCTTCAAAACAGTGTGGTTCTTTCCTCAAAAGACCACTACGAAATGAACTTGCATGGCTCTCGCACATTATATTATGTTTCACATTGTCTGGACTTGAAAAGAGACGGACCTCTGAGGTTTTTTTCTACTGAGAGTAGTCAGATAGGAAACGCCGGCTTCAACTAGTTTTTTTACATTTAATTTTGATGTGTAAAAGCGCTGTTTTATGGCCTATTTAGAAAAAATAAATTCATTGTTTAATTGTTTCGACAAATGACTTTCCTGGACTGGGTGAGGTGAGAGGGAGTGTCAGACCCCCACTAAAACACCCCGTTCCTTCTCCTACTACAGGCCGAGAGGGAGAGCCAAGCTTCGGCACGAATGGGTCGGCTCGACCGGAGTGATACCACGGCCTCACAGAATACCGACGTGAAACAACCCACCGCGTTGTGTTTCGCCGTGTGAGTGAGATTAGCGGAGGCAAAATCCCTCCCCTTCCCCTATCCCTTCCCAATCCTTATATTCGCAACCCCTATCCCCAAAGGGCCGGCAACGCACTCGTAACTCCTTTGGTGTTGCGGGTGCCCATGGGCGACGCCGATTGCTTACCATTAGGTAATCCGTATGCTCGTTTGCCGACTTAACCATAAAAAAAAATTCAGGATGAACATTGACCCTGTTGAGCTCCATTTGTGATGGTTTAAATGCTTTTTGAGGTGACCTGCGTAGCTGAGATGGGTTCTCATTTCTGAGTTTTCCTATTGAATACTGGTTTCTTAGTGAATCATAAAAATGGTCAAACCTAGACTAAGTGATTAGACTAACTAATATAATAGTTGAAGTGTTTCATAAACTAGATTATTGGAAGCTTGTTTTTAAAACTGTTGTTATTAAAATTTTCCTGAAAATTTAACAAGTACCCCTTTTAAAAGGCCGGCAATGTTGCCGAAATGATGAGTATGTACTCATCATCGTAGGAGAAATTATGGGCACCGCTGATTGGTTGCCGTCTTCGTCTCAACTTATCCAAATAAAAACTGACAGACTAACAAACAGATGATACCTCTATACATATAGATATATTAATTTATGGATATAAATTACATTATAATAAAAAGATTTTGGCAATCATTCGATCTGAGCACGTACCAATTCAATGCGGTATGCATGATAGATATGGAGTACATAGATAGTCAGATAGAGGGGATTATCTGTCTCGCTCGCGTGCTGAACATGAGGATCTAAGTTTAATTACCAAGTCTGGTAAAGAGATTAGGCACCTATTAGTACTTACTTATATCGATAAAAAAACTTCTATGTCATTGTAATATAGTGTAACACAATATTTTAAAATTAGAAAAAATATTTCAATTGTTTTTAAAAGACGTTAACAATTATTAGGCTTATAAGTTTAAGGTCGCCAATCCGTTCGCTGCTCTCCTTTGCGCCAAGCTTCGGCACAAAAGGGTCGCTCCACCGGAGTGATACCACGACCTCACAGAAAACCGGCGTGAAGCAACACTTACGTAGCGTTTCGACGTGTGAGTGAGGTTACCGGAGGCCCAATCCTTCCCCATTCTTAATCATCAAATACCCTATCCTTCAATCCCAAATAACCAACGAAAGGGCGGCAATAAACTTACACACTAGCAACTCCTTTGGTATTACGAGTGCCCATAGGCGGCGCCGATAGCTTAACATTAGGTAAAATGCTGGGGCCCTACCCGCCACATAAAATAAATATAGAAACTCGACAATACTTTTGACTGGCTTTAAAATCTTAACCTTGACTGTGCTTTTGCTGATGTTACAATTGTTTAACCATACAAACACTAGTAGGTATATTAACTCTAGAAATAGCTGTTGCCACAATTAACTCTCTAACCTGCAAGACAATACACTTTCTAATCCATGGCATACGTGAGGAGTTGAGGAGCAAGTATAGTATGTCAAGGTCAACGAATTACCATATAAGTAGAGCGCATTACTATGATAATGACAGCTTTCATCTTCAATTTCACCTGCATTAAACTCATCAGCACTCTCCAGCCTCATATACCTGGGCAAAAAAAAATATTATAGAAGCGACCCGCTGTCATGAAAAGATCAAGACATACAATAATGTTATTATCTTATAAAGATAGCGCATCTTTTCTTTCTGCATACCTTAATTATAGGTACATATTTTAATGTTTTTGTTTTGTTTTTATTTTTGAAGCGCGTCCGGCATGTTTGCCGGTGCTGACATTGATAGTTTTTCTACCATCCTGCCTAAGAGATGCTCATCTATGCTTCGCCGATTACACGACAGCCCCAACACCATTCTCGGAGCGTTGGCGGAAAGGTGGGACTCTCCGATCTTGGGGCGGTGGATACGACTACATGCAGTCGACATTCCCAGAGAAGGCGAGCCTCACTTTTGTATAAATAAATAAAGTTACTAACACTAGTTTATAAGTTCATACTGTTACTAACAAATATGGATATTATTCCGAAATCAATGTTTATTATACCCCATAATCACTTACTTGAAGATATTGACAATATTTTCGCTATTTAAGCATAATATAATAACAAAGGAGTCTTTATTAAGTATAAAATATACATATGTATATTAAAATGTTACATAATATTATACAATATTTTCATAATTATGCCAAGATTTATTCAAAATCTCCATAATAATATCTGTAGTATAATAAGTAACTAAGCCACATAATACATAATTACATAAAACGAGGCCCATAATATTTTATGTGCTAAACATCTAGGTATACAGGTTCAATATTACTTAATACGCCCTAGAACAAAGTGCCTGTGGTGACCTTAAACGAAAAAAAAAATTAAATTGAAAAATATAAAAAAAAAATCTTTAAAACGGAAAATTGAATATCAAACATTACAAATTAAATATTGGAAACAAAAACAAAAATATAAGAATAATTGAACATTTTCTATTAGATGTATAGCCTAATAAAGGCATCCAGTATCCTTCGTAACGAAATAGTATAATGCCGACATAGTATAACCTCGTAATTGCTTAAACCTTTGCCATAAAATCCTGACGTATTAAGGGCTAAATGCATGCTTGTATTCCCTTTCATCTGGTCAAATGGAACGCAAGAAGTAAAGTTGATAGGTGGCGTTCTGCTCAAATTATACTAAAACTGGAACAAAAGTAATATATATCTAAAACCTTAGGTACAATCATGTTGAGAGTAACCTAGGCGCAATTTCCGACAACATTGACACATTATAATTGCTATATAGGTCCCATTAATAAATAATAAATCTAGACTTTCTTAAACTTCCTACACAATGGGAAGTGCCTAGATTTATTTACAGGTGTTATAAGGTTAGAAGGTTACCAGAAGTCTCTCCCCCCCCCCCCCCACTCATCCTCAATCTTTAAATGCCCTATCCTTAAATCCCCAATAACCAACAAGAGGCCAGCAACGCACTTTATTATAACCAATCTATACTCGGAATTTCAATTAGATTCCAGATTTGACATGGAAATCGAATATTTCTGAATCGATTCCTCTCGTTTACAAATTTACTCTCGTAAACTAAGTTTATCAGGAAATTGAATATTCCTGAACCGATAATTTAGTTTTGACAATTAATTAACGATCTGATACTTTTTTTTATTTGGATATGTGAAATTCATAAAAAAAAATGTGATCATGAAGGAACATGACAATTCCATATGTTATTTTTATAAATTGTCACCGTCATCGCTATCGCTATCGCTGTTACTTTCTGTAACATTTATTATGAATTGTGTCTGTGATATTTATTGTCAATATCTAGCTCAGGTACTCATTTTTTCCTCTTCTTTGACAACATGGGATACGCATTTAGACCATTCGGTAGCTGTAATTTTTGAATGCCTTCCTGAAACTGATTGTTTATCGATTTTTGTGTTCATCACTACTGTCATATGTGGTATCATTATTTCACAAAATGACAGTAGCTTATGTCAAATCTGGAATCGAATTAAAATTCTGACTATAGATGAGGTGAGAGGGGTTATCAAACTCTCACTGACTAAAAAGATTAATAAAAACCGACCTTTTCCTTCTTCTGCTCCGAGCCGAGCCCTAATACATCATAACAGCGACCCATTTTGAGGATCAGCCCTAGTGGGTTCCACCGGTGGTATCCTGATGGGTCCTTTAAGCACTCAGAACACGACCCACCGTACTGTTAGGACGCGGCTGGTGTTAGTCTTTTAAAAAAAAAACCAATGATACTGCTAACACTACTTTAATAAAAAGAACTTGAACTTTACAAGAATTAGAGTAAAGGATTGTCTTAAACTCGTCAGGATAAGATATTGACAATGTGACGGCACCGGTAGACTGAAGCCGCTACGCGGTTGCAAGTATTTTTATAGTAATCAAAAATGCATGCATTTGCAATAACCGCGGACTAATTGTGAATATAACAGTACGTGTAGGGTCTAGTGCTGATCGGGAGGCGAGTAACCTCACAAAGTCACATACTAAATTATTCGGTTTTATAAGCATCCAAAAATAAAAATGACCTAACTAATCAATCATTGCCTATTATATATAAAAAAGTACCTGTATATGCATTTTATCCTCATCAATATAAGAAAAATAAGTATTAAATCAATAAATCATCCGTCTGTCGGTCCATACTTCAGATAATACATGTAGGTAAATACAATTCCAATAACAATTAATAAGTTTACAATTCTGATTAATAATCATTAAACACTTATAAATGTATTAAGTCGTTATAAATTCGTATAGTTTTTATTGGCTTTTTAATTATACCGAAATATTCGTACTATGGTTACGACGTTTTGATTTGAAGTCTTGTAGAATCTTTATGGTTATCAAACACGACGGATATTAAACGTGAATTTATGTCATAACTGAAAAAGAAAATACACTTTTTACTTTCTTCCCCCGATGGCTATTGCCCTAGACACCTTATCTGACAATCCATCTTAAAACAACAAAAGAAAATGATATACATACTAAATACCAACGAACAACTATCAAAATTTAAGTGTGGAAGAGCTAAGCTTCGGCACGAATGTGTCGGTTCGACTGGAGTCATACCACGGCCTCACACAAAACCGGCGTGAAACAACAACAGCGTTGTGTTCCGCTGTGTGAGCGAGGTTACCGGATTCCCAATCCTTCCTTAAATATTCGAAACCCTTATCCCTTAAAAACCGGCAAACGCGGAGTACGTTTGCCGGTTTGGAGTTACGGGTGTCCATGAGCGGCACTGATTGCTTCATCATCAGCATCATCAACCTGATGTCGTCTACGCTGGACATAGGCCTCCCCAATTGCATGCCACTGAGCTAGTTGCTCAGCTCTTCTCATCCAACCACTGCCAGCCATCCTGCGGATGTCGTCAGTCCACCTAGCTGGAAGGCGCCCTACACTACGTTTGCCTAGACGTAGTTTCCAATCTCCAATCAGGTCTGCTCGTTTGCCGACCAATAACATAAAAAAACATTGATTTCCTCAATTTAATAAATACAATTAGTGGAGACATACAGTCTCCGTACTCCATAAAAGCTCACAAACCAACATCGGAAGTTGTACTGTCTTATGTCAACATACATCTTAGAAATGTAAAACTAATAAATAACAGTTGCTAGAGGTCAGGAAATCCTCAAGTGGTCTACAACTCGATACAAATGCTGTCAAAGATTATAATATAATATAGATGCGACCTTCACACAACTCGGCTAATGGCAGTCGTTGGTCGACATCCGCAGACCAGTTTGATATAGAAGCGGTGGTGTAGATGCGACGTTTCGGAAGTGTGTAGGTAAAATACTGTGCAGAAGTGTCTGCGTTTTGTACGCTTGGCTCTATGTTTTGGTGGTGTCGTTGTTTGGACAAACATCTTTTAAGGATCAAAGCTAAATGACTGTTCCTAGATTTGCTACCTGATTCAATTACTTCTATATATATTCAATTGTATATCTTTATTGAGTCTTCATTTGTTTAATTACCCGCGATATTCACAATATTTTAGTAAGCACAGCATTTTTTTAATACTACTTACTACTACTTACAAAAACGTCGCCCCTGCGTATGATTTTCACCTTTACTGTGGGTACAAACAAGTCAAGTTAAATCCATCTATGTACTATAATATATACCTATGTTATTTATTATACTATTATATAATTTAAATATGTTTGAACACATAATATAGTACTGTGTATGTTAATAATACGCACATATATACGAATCTATCTCGTATGTCATGTCTCATATAAAATTAAGTCTGTTTGCTTGCTTCTTGCACCGACCATTGGCTCAGCATCACCCAAGGCTCTAAGGCATAAGTCCGCCTATGTGTCCCGTACCCATTGTGCATGAAGATTAAATAAATAAATTAATAAAACGTGCTTGAAACTTAATAATAAATGAAAAAATAAAATAAAAACTTATTACTTTTTTCATTAGTTGACCAATTAAATCACAAAGCCATCTCTGAAAATATTGTCATATGTCAATCATAATGAAAAGAAAAAGCATTTCTCACTTGTCCTATCTGAGCTAAATAAACGAATCTTTGGTAAGGTGGAGTTAGAACGTCCACTATCTATTGTGAATAACTGGGCCGGTGTCTGTCTGTGCGTGACGTCACCTATCTCATATATCTATATTGTCGCACATCAACCGATAGCAAATTATATACTGCACACTATCTTTGTATGTATTGTAAAAGCACTTGTTTTAAGAACTAGGAATTTAAGACACTTTAAATCCAATTATCTGAAAGTGTTTTAGAAAATAATAATGTCGTTGTGGACCGGAGTTTAAGACGCCCGATTTTGGTATCTGAGTTATATTAGCTTTTTGAGATAATTTAACTGACATACGGTCAATGAATGAAAAAAATTAGGATATTTAATAATTATAAACTTATAATTTCTTATTCTCATATAAGCATTGAGGAATCCGCCTTGAGAAAGCGTTGTGGTTAATACCCTTCTCCATGGAGAAGAGGCCTTTGCTCAGCAATGGACACTTATAGGTTAATGATGTGTTTTGATGTTATCTTATTCCGCAAAACAGTCTGAATAACAAACAGACAGAACAAATATAAGAGGAGAAAGAAATTAAGAAAAAGAAACAATCACGCGATGATAATTCTTTTTCACTAATTCACTAACATAGGTATACACATAAATAAATATCATTGTAACTTTACCTATTCTCGAAAAAATAACCATAATATGTCAGTTTCGATATAAAACAATAAAATTGTTAAAAGGGGATAAGTTCCTAATAAATCGAATAAATATTATAAATTCGAAAGTAGGTAACTCTGTATGTCTGTCTTTTCTTCACGCCTAAACGACTGAACCGATTTCTGTGAAATTTGGTACAGACATACTTTGGAACTTGAGAAAGAACAAAGGATAGTTTTTATACCAAAAGTCACTATTCTACGCGAATGGAGTCGCGGGCAAAATTTAATGTAATCAATCTACCTAATCAAAATTTCAAGTTCAAGAACAGACAATGGAATATAAATGTTTCTAAATGTAGAACTAGACATATCAGGGCACTGCTCGGTCCATACTCGACAATTAACGTCTGTCCGTCTCGTAATCCACTTATAGAGATCATTCACACCCGTCTGGATTTAATTAAACCTTACGTAACGTGGCGGTGACACGGGATACGCGGGAGCGAGAGCGGATAAATCAAGATCATTGGAAATAGCCACCAGGTCACGTAAATTAAGTGAAAAAGTATATAAACTTGATGTCTTTAAGGTCCGAGTGAATAGGTTGCTTATGGGTAAGCGTGCTTCATTGTAGATGGCTAATCACTTACCAGCAGGCGTTAAACAGGTCAGATGTCTGCAAAATACGAAAAAAAAACCTTTTTTTATGTAATAGGTCGGCAAACGAGCAGACTTACGAGTGCGTTGCCGATCTTTTAACGATTAGGGTGTTGGGATTGGGATGGATCGGGGGAGAGGAAGGATTGGGCCTCCGGTGACCTCACTCACACGGCGAAACACAACGCTGTGGTTGTTTCAGGCTGGTTTTTTGTGAGGCCGTGGTACCACTCCGGCCGAGCCGAACTATTTAAGTCATCTAAGCTCGTGTCCTCCTCTTTTAGTATACCTACAATACCGCCAACGTATCTTGGCGAGTCGGAAGTTAGCTGCGCAGTACACAATTTTGTTCCTAAAAGATCCATTGCGCAGACGAACGGCTAACTTCAGACTAAAACGAAAAACGCAAAGGTGGTTTCCCTGTTTTACTTCTTTTTTCTCTCCAATAGTAATATTAATATATATATATATATATATATATATAATAATAATATCATATCGTCCATCTTAGTCCAACTACAAGAGACCATATTTAACGATCTATCAACGTGTCCCATCCCTATTTCCGAGTCCAGTCCATCCAGCCAGATTACCAGCGATCATGTAGAGGGGAGCCACAGCAAGTATCGCTAGACTGTTACTGTAACACAATATAGATGATACGATGACGTCACCAATGTTATACAATACACCGCTCTAATTAATTCGTGCGGATTCCGTATGTACATATGTGTAATTCAAAACTGTAGTTGATAAAACAGTTCTGTCGTTCTTTTCGATACGACTTTCTCACAGTTTTGTTTAAAAATGTAGATACATGTATTTATAGACATATATATCGCTATATAAACATGTAGATATATATAGTTTGTAACCAATTTCTCCGAAGATAACCAGTTTTAGGAAGATTGGACAATAAATTACACGGAAGGTGGTGCATAGTGTGTTAGAGTGTCTATCTAGTCTAAGCACACAAATACAGTCATAGAAGCTATATCACTAAATTTGTCAACGCATCGTAAGAGCCAATTGAAGCATGACATAAACAGAGACTAGCACCAAACTCTATCTGATGAGCAGTGTGGATATTTATAGATATTAACCCACCGCAGATGGGGCCTGATGTTCAGCTTCATCAGTTCAATAATGAACCGGTAATAGGTCCCGGACCGGAGTAGGAAAAGGAATGGGACAGTTTTTAGTCAGTAAGAGTCTGACACTCCTTTTATTGGCCCACCGTCAATCTATATGGCTCAGAAGTCAATTGATGATTTTCTCCCCTGATACAAAAAAGCAATAAAGGCCGATTATAGATTTAACCACACTGTCTCATGCAGGAAATGATATCAAACTGTGGGCTTAAGAGTTATTGATGCTGAAATCTATTAGGAGTCATGACACGAGAATCGAACTAGATACCTACACGAATCAATTGAGAACTTAGCGAAGTGCCCGATCGCCCAGTAGGTGACTATGCACTCACTGCCGAATGCTTATCGTAATACTTACATTATAAAAGAAATGAAACAATTTTATAGTCTATACATATACCACGTCAAAGATTTTACAACATCCGACTTCAGATGTAAGAACAAATAATTTATAGATGTGATTAAATTAAATTGTTGTAAAGTTTTTTTAATTATGTTTTAGATAAACAAACATTTAGATAAAAGGTTTTCCGTTTCACAGATACCGTTTACTTACCTACCTACCGCCATTTTGGGAGTTACGTCATTTTAGGATGACAATTTTTATTTGTTCATTAGCTGAAGACACCGTCAAAGATTTCCTTACACACCACAAAACAAACCTATTTTTGTAACGGAAAAATCATCAAATGACTTCTCCCTCCCAGGGTGGGGCGGGAGGAAGTGTCAGACTCTTACTGTCTTTAAAAACCCACCCGTTCCTTCTCTTGCTCTGGGCCGAGACCGCGGTGACTCATTACGCTTGCCCCGCAACCCTGAACATCAGCCCTATAGAGCCCCGTCTGAGGTGGTCTATTGAACGCGACGCGCCGTACGCTCAGAGGGTCTACCGTGACGTCTTAAAGAAAGAGGGATAGAGCTACAAAAGGTAAAGATGGTGTATAGCTCCATCCCTCTTTCTCGCCCGAAAGATTCACGCTTTAACACGTCATGGTAAGCCGGGGTTGCGGGGTAAGCGCAATGAGGCACCGCGACCTCGGCCCAGAGCAGGAGAAGGAACAGGGGGGTTTTTAGTCAGTATGAGTCTGGCACTCTCTCCCACCCGACGCTGGGCCGGAGAATTCATTTGATGATTTTCCCCTCACTAAAACACGTCTTGGTAGGCCATTCTTAAGGCATAGTCAATCTTAAGACTCAAATAACGTAATTGGGTTAAAAACGGCCTTTTCCCCCTTCAGGGAACAACAGGCGTGTTTTTTAACACGGCATCTTGCAAGAGAAGATCGCATGTTTGCTAATTAGGTAGATCAATTAGTAATGCCCTAAATAAATGTATTTTTAATACCAATTAAAGTAAGTACTTACTGATAATACAATTATAGTTCATGTAAAACATATATCAATTAGTAAACATGGCAATATTAATTATTTATACTACTGATTAAATGGCGGCTGGTAAGACCCAGGACTTAAGTCCTAAAGGATATCTGAGGTTGTAAGTCAAATGAGTTTATCAATGTTCTGACGTAAAACGTCGTTACAAATTATTTTAAAGGCCTGTTTCATAATGTCTAAACAGCCATTATTTACCTGGTGAATTTGAATATGGAACGTTATAGAGTAGTTTCCTACTAAGTACCTATACTCGGAATTTTAATTCCATTCCAGATTTGACAATTTCAGTGTTGCAACGTTATGACACGTAATAAATAGTGACGTTGCGAAATTATTCGATATGGAAATCGAATATTTCTGAATCGATTCCTCTCGTTTATAAATTTACTCTTGTAAACTAAGTTTATCAGGAAATAAAAAAATTCTGAACCAATAATTTAGTTTTGACAATTAAATAACGATCTGAGGCTTTTCTTTTGTAATTGTGTGTGAAATTAATAAAAAATGTGATCATGAAGGAACGTGACAAATAAAACAGACATTTTATAAATTGTCGCCGTCATCGCTATCGCTATCGCCGTTACTCTATGTAACATTTATTATGAATTGTGTCTTTGATATTTATTGTCAATTAACATATCCAGCTTACTCATTTTTTCCTCTTCTTTGAAAACATAGGATACACATTTAGACCATTCGGTAGCCGTAATTTTTTGAATTCCTTCCTGAAACTGATTCACTGATTGTTTATCGATTTTTGTGTTCATCACTACACTTTTATATGTGGTATCATTATTTCACAAAATGACAGTGGTCAATGTCAAATCAGGAATCGAATTATAAGTCTGACTATAGTCAAATTTATGCAATCATTCAATCATTTTTCAATAATGTCAAACATGAAGGAAAAACCATAAAATTGTTCCCTTAAAATAAAATAAATAGCATACTTATTTCTCTTGAATTGTCAAAGAAAATCGTTCATGCCATGTCCGTGAGACGCGCCAGTGTTTCGGTATTTTCATGGTTGTATCTACTGTAGATAGGTACTGGCTTACAGGAGTTGCAGTGGTTTTGGGAGGATGGGCTTATCCCAAAAAAATCAGATGAAATCCTTAATTTCTTTTTATACTTATAAGGCCTGCAAGGTTTTCGCTAAAGAAACTGAACTTAACGGTGAATTGGGATTTATTATCTTTACTCACATATTTTTGAATAAATTAGAAAAGTTTCATATTTTTCTTAAGATAAAGAACATGTAACCTCACCTGTAAAAAGCTTATATTACTTCAGCTGTAAAAAGCATTACACATTTCTGCAAAGTAATATTGATTGATAAAGTTTTTTAATCCATTCGCGTATGAAAACAACGAAAATGATACATATGGGTAAAGTTAGAAGGTACAATGTTAAAAGTACCAAAGTTTCTAAGATATCTATATAACTTTTTATTGAAAACTAGAGCACATTTTTTACGATATAAGAGTGTTTTTTTATAACTCTTAGCTTCGAGAGACAATACGCCGTCATTGTTGCTCACACATACTACGATCAGAGTAAAGCCATGTGTTTCATAAATTAAAATTCGTTTCCTTTGGGAGAACATTAATTAGGTACACAACACTGACAGAATTGAAGAAGTGTGGAGTGGGAGAGCCAAGCTTCAGCACGGATGGGTCGACTCGACCGGAGTGATACCACAGCGTTATAGAAAACCAACCCGAATGAACCACAGAAAATATAGAAATAAAGGTTACTGGAGGCCCAATCCTTCTGCCCCTCCCCCAATCCGTAAATCACCGAAAACTTAATCCTCAAAAGGCGGACACCGCACGCACCTTCTAGTTTTGCGGCTTTTTTACCATAAGTTAACTGCAAAAAGTCGGAAATTATGGTATTTGAGGCTGGGGGTGAAAGTCCTGAAAGTACACCACCTGTATTTCTTAATAAAGTGCCTTTAAACAGAGTTCATAGGTTTAAATATCTGGGTCATATATTGACACCCGACCTCAAGGACGATAAAGACATTGAACGTGAGCGGAGAGCGTTGTCCGTTAGGGCAAACATGATAGCTCGCAGGTTTGCAAGATGTTCACTTGAAGTCAAGCTCACCCTTTTTAGGGCTTACTGTACCAACTTTTATACATGCAGCCTGTGGGCTAGATTTGCGCAGAGGTCGTACAGCGCTCTCCGTGTTCAATATAATAACGCGTTTAGGGTGCTGGTGGGGCTGCCCCGCTTCTGTAGCGCATCAGGGATGTTTGCAGATGCACACATAGACTGTTTTTATGCAACAATGCGCAAAAGGTGTGCTTCCCTGGTGAGCAGGGTGCGGGCCAGCTCCAACAGTATCCTGAACATGGTTGCAAGCAGGCTGGACTGCATATACATGGGACGATGTAATGCCATTTCCTATGGATTAATGTAGGATGTATCTGAAAAAAAAGAAAACAGTTGTGACTACTAACATAGATGTAAGTTTTACTAACTAATATTTGTCTAACTAAATCTAATAAATGATTTATTATTATTATGTATGTCTTTACCAATCACGGGACCACAGGGTCCCGGTCATTTGGAAGGCGTACGAGGGGCCGGAGCCAACTGCGCAGAGGCCCTTTAGACAACTTTAATCTAATTGAAATGGGACACAAACCGGCGACTATCCCTGTATGCACTATGGAAATACACCCAAGGACAGTCCCCGGTTAGTGTAGGACTATTGCGGATAATGGAAACAAGGGATAAGGCTATGGGCGTGGGTTGTTATGGACTGGTATGATGGGAACTATGGGAGGACTATGGCACCTGCCGAAACAATGTAATGAATACATGTAAAAATGGCAGGTGGAGACTCGCCAACTCACCGACCGGGCCCCCGGGAATGGTTACTAGTAATAGCAACAGAGGGACAACGGAAATGTGAGTGGCTGAAGGGTGAAGAAACTGCCACCAGCTTTCTACTCAGATCATCTGCATCTGCCTAAGCATCCTGCATCACTGGCCCACTCGCCGCTTACGAACAGCTTCCACCCTCCGAGCAGGATCACTACTCTCGCGACTCCACTCTGGACGGCCAGTAAAGGCAAGCCAGAGGTGGGAGACCTGTTCCTCGTCATCGTTCACTCCGGCCAGCCAATGAAGGCAAGCCGGAGATAAGGAACGGTGACTCCTCCCTGGAGCAATTGGGATGATGGTAGCCCGCGGGATCGCTAATTCCCGTCACCTCGCCTCAAGGTGCCCTGCGGGCTTATTATTATGTATTTCTCTACCAATCACGGGACCACAGGGTCCCGGTCATTTGGAAGGCGTACGAGGGGCCGGAGCCAACTGCGCAGAGGCCCTTTAGACAACTTTAATCTAAATGAAATGGGACACAAACCGGCGACTATCTCTGTATGCACTATTGAAATGCACGCAAGGACAGTCCCCGGTTAGTGTAGGACTATTGCGGATAATGGAAACAAAATACAGGGCTATGGGTGTGGGTTGTTATGGGCTAGTAGGATGGGAACTATGGAAGGACTATGGCACCTGCCGAAACAATGTAATAAATACACGTAAAAATGGCAGGCGGAGACTCGCCAACTCACCGACCGGGCCCCCGGGAATAGTTGCTAGTAATAGCAACAGAGGGACAACGGAAATGTGAGTGGCTGAAGGGTGAAGAAACTGCCACCAGCTTTCTACTCAGATCATCTGCATCTGCCTAAGCATCCTGCATCACTGGCCCACTCGCCGCTTACGAACAGCTTCCACCCTCCGAGCAGGATCACTACTCTCGCGACTCCACTCTGGACGGCCAATAAAGGCAAGCCAGAGGTGGGAGACCTATTCCTCGTCATCGTTCACTCCGGCCAACCAATGAAGGCAAGCTGGAGATAAGGAACGGTGACTCCTCCCTGGAGCAATCGGGATGATGGTAGCCCGCGGGATCGCTAATTCCCGTCACCTCGCCTCAAGGTGCCCTGCGGGCTTATATTATTATAAGGTAATCCAACTGTTCTTTGCGTTCCTATCACATAAAAATAGTGGACACCAATTTTTTTTTTTTGTAATTGGTCGGCAAACGGGCAGACGGATTACCTGATGGTAAGCGGTCAGCGCCGCCCATGGACACCCGCAACGGAGGAGTTACGAGTGCGTTGCCGACCTTTTCGGGATTAGGGATTTGGAGATTTAGGGATTGAGGAGGGATTGGGGGCGGGGAAGGATTGGGCCTCTGGTAACCTCACTCACTCGGCGAAACACAACGCTGTGGTTGTTTCACGCCGGTCTTCTGTGAGGCCGTGGTATCACTCCGGTCGAGCCGGACCATTCGTGCCGAAGCTTGGCTCTCCCACACTTTTGAATGTTGTCACAACATATATCTCCTCTAGACGCCAATACTCAAGGACAGGTGTATTCTTAGTCTAGATTTCAATTAACTAGTCTGTCTAAGGATGCAACTGCAATAGATCCAGCACTTATACTATTTATGTGGAAGGCCGATGCAATATCCACTTACTAAGATTTTTATTAATAAATTAGGTGACATGCGCGCGGCGCGAAATTGCCTCTGAGACACACGTACTGTTGGGTGGAAAAACAATGTCGATACTGGTTGGTTTGATGTTGGATTTTAAGGATTACTAATTAAGAAAATGGCGTTTTAGTTTCTCCTTACAAAAAAAAGGAAAGATAAGAGTAAGCAATTAGAAAGCTTCTTCAATTAAAGAGGAAAGTATATCCTTTTTATCAACATCTTGCATAAAAAGGTCTCTGCCCTCTGCTATATTGACTTTGACTTTGAAAAGATTGAAAGTCAAGTTCATACCTGACCACCGCCTACCACGGCGTATAAAAATAAACTTATCACAAGTCATCAAAAGTAATTACCTGTAGATATAAATGTCTTAACAAAAACTTGGTATTTATCAACCTCTGTGACGGAAACAAGAATGTACAATTTTATCTTAGATCAATTATTCGGATAGCGCCAAATATAATATCTGCATTGTTGATCGTGTGCATGAAAATTTATCAATTTCAATTTATAATTATTAAACATGCTCCTAACTTGCATGCTTCAAGTATTTAGTATTACTAATCCTTGTTTTTACAGTCATAGTGATTTCTTATCATCGTCATCATCGGCCCATATAAATCCGGGTTTAAGGCTTCTCCAATCTTACTTCTTTTTTTATGATATAAGTCGGCAAACGAGCAGTTGCACAACGAGCAGATGGTAAGCAATCAGCACCGCCCATGAACCATTTTTGTTTTTTTTTTATTTTTTTATTTTTTTTAAGTAAAAGTGCCTCACTTTAGGATTTTCTCCTTTGTTGTGGGTGCGTTTACAAATATACAATGTCACATACACATTACACATGACACGCAGACCCGAAACAACAATTTGTGGGTCACACAAAGAGTTGTTCCATGCAGGAATCCAAGGTTGCGCGGCAGCCAGTTGCCCAGCCACCGCACCAACCGTGCAAATAGTTACGAGTGCATTGTCGGTCTTTCGGGGATGAGGGTGTAAGGTCCATTTAAGACAACAGAAGTATAATAGTCTTTATGCCATTCTTAGAAGAAATAACCTGTAGCGACAAATATAGAAGCTCAGAAAGACAATAAATTATTAACAGATGTCGTCACAAATCCTACATCTGCAAGTGAAGTTTGTGATAGAATATTTACCATGGCGCCTGCTGACTGCTGCTTGATGAAGATGATGACTCCATATTGTTTATGCAAAGTACGTTAAGTACCTAACGCATACTTTTGTGTCAAATAATTTGATTTCTATAACTCAAGCACTAGTTAAAAAGTGCCTTGTTTTGCCTGCCTTGTTTTGTCAATAATTAAGTAAGTAATACTCGTAGGAGTGTTATCAACGTCATGTTCTATGTCCACAGATTAAGTAAAAACATATACATACATCAATATGGGAAGTGGGCGCGGACATTTTTAAGATAAAATATAGGTAATGATAAGTCCAGTATATGCTATACTATATTATCAATGTTCATTTGCAAATCTTGATTGACTTTTATTTATCGACGATTTTTCATTTTTGTTAATTAGAAGAACTCTATATTTAGATTCGTTACATAATCACCTATTCAGAATTTGATATTGGTATCTTTTAGTAAAATTCTCGGTATATAAAATTAGGCTTTAAGATATAGTATTTAGGCATAATTAGCTGGTTATCTGTATTATCAATAGCTCAATATATCTATGACTATTATTTTAGTATAGTTTTCTGTAGGTCTGTACCTAAGTTTTAAGTCATTAACATTGTCCATTTAAACACAAAAAAAATCTCAATAGACCGAATTCATGTTTATGTCAACCCTATAAAAAAATAAAATACGATTCAAAAAGAATCGAAAGATTTTTTTTATTTTTCGAACTCGTTACCTATCTAAAGTATACATGAGGAGATGGCTATCTACACGATAATTTTGAAAAACTAGAATCGACATGTTTGTTTACAATTTTAAGTCGATCGACTATCTTTCCTGTTATTTTGAAAAATAATAATAACCTACTAGGGCTCCTCCTGGCATTTATTTACAGAATACATGAGACAAAGGCTAAATGAATGAATCAATAATAATTATAACAATATTGATTGCATCGTTACCGGTGTTCAACAAAAAATAAGTCTTTAAATAACTCCGTGCAAAAAATCTTTGGAAGGACTTGGTTTTTTAGTTATTACAATAAAAAAAATCTCATAAAAAACTCAAAACAAACAAGTACCTAACGCAATAGAAGTGAATGAAAATGGCTGTCTTTTTTATATTTCGTTTGAGAGCAACATCTTAATGGTAAAACCTAACCTAAAAATAAAATATTCCTTTTTATCCAAATAAAAATACGCAAGTTTTTCCTGTATGAATGTACCACAAAACAAAACATAAAAAAAATATAATAAAAAAAATTTACAAACGCAACAAAAAAAACCTGATTCACAAATAAATATGTATTTACACGCGAACTCATATCACCTTACATTTCTACATTTTAGCGTACTATCAAAAATTTCTCAGCGCGCATGCCCAGTGTTGACTAACAACCGCCGCGGCACGCGCCTAGTTGACAGTTGTCCGTCGCTCCCGGCCGTATGTCACGAACATACCTATTATCACTTGGAACTTAGCACGACCGCCTCTTAGTCCAAGCGGGACGACGCACGGTGCAACAGGCCGATAAAAAAATATTCAAAACAAGACAAAATGTATAAAACGTTTTGGTATACCGGTATCCATATTAGTCGCATGTCGTGGGTGTCACAGTGAACATGTATTAATAATTAATTTATCGATTATCAATAAATAATATTTCGCAAAAAATAAATAAACAAAGTGATCCAAATTAAAAATAAAAAAAATCAATACCATAAATAAAAAAATGTTTGCGATCTTAGTGTTGTTTGTGGTCAGTTTTGCAGGTTGGTTATTTTCTATAATATTATTCTGTGCACTTCCTATTTTATTTTAGTCTGTAAAAATAATGTGTTTTGTCTAATTGTGCAGCTTTATTGGACTTGAAATGATTTAATTACCATTTTTAAATTGTAATAAACGGCGTAACTAATGCCGCACGCAACCAACATTAGCGTCCCTTGTCAGTTGAATTTAAATTGGTAAAGTTTGTTTAATTAATGCATTAAGTTTAACCTACTTTAAAGTTCATTTCAGAAATACATTAATTTATGGGACGATGAAAGTCTGTGGAAAATTTAATAATCAATTTAATAATTTTTATACACAGACAAGAAAAAAGTTGTAGTTGTTGTAGTGTGCGTTGCGGATTTTTGTTGAGTCTTCGTTTTTATTTATTAAACTTTTAACTTGAATGAAAAAGTAATTGTTGTTTACTAGATCCAAACGATACAATTGTTTAATTTATTGTTTTACTCAGGGTAATCCAAATATTGTACAAAAGTTGCAATAGGTGGTATTTTTCTTTACAAATGTTGACACAGTTTCCCGCCATATTTTGTGTCAACTGTCTTTTTTAAATTATTTTTGGCATCGGTATAAGGAGTCTAACAAATAAATGTAGTCTCCTTACTAAATATATTTGATTGTTTCAGATTTAACTCTGCAGGCAGAATGGACGTACAGCCGTAAGTATATTTTTAATGTTTTTTTTTCTGTGTTTGTTCTATCGATTCTATACCTTAATATCGAATGTAACAAAAGTGGTTACAATATTTTTAACTTATGAACTTTTTGTCGCGTTCGAAAAAAGGAGTAGGTACAATAACTCACCTTAATTAAAAAAATGTTTAGTGAAATAGATTTAATTGATTTTGGAAAAGATGATGTTTGATGGAGGTTAAATATCCCTCCAAAATATTTTTGCACATGGGTGAATTCCATACGTTTAGGAGAAGGGCATTAAGTACGCATCAGGCTATACAAACTCGACGATCTCCGGCCACCTTAAGTGCCTCTGAGGACAGCGAACTGGGGTAGAATAGTAGCTCGCCGGCAGACCAGAATCCGACTTGACAGACACGTACGTCAGCTGGGGTTCCGGGTGCAATGTATCACGCAAGAGTAGGGGCGTTAGTCAAAAGGAGTCTGACACTCTTTTTCAATCCACCTAGAGCAGAAGGAGGCAAGAGCATACCAATTTACATAACCTCGCTTTGCATGATAATTCCCGCACATTCAACTATATAGTTTGACCTGCTGCTGTAAGCGCAATGAGACATCGCGGCCTCGGCCTAAAGCAACAGAAATTAAGAAATTAAGATTAAGCCCCACCCGGGGCGGGGGAAGTCGTTTGATAATTTTCCCTTCACAAAAAAACCGAAACGTCAAACAAAAGCCCTTTACTTGGCAATTGCACTAGTGACCTCTTCAACCAAGGAATTAAGGCATTGCAAAATAATAAAGAAGGTTTTTTATATACACAACGTTTTTTTTTTTAAAGAAATACGGAACCTACTTTAGGTTATAATAATATTATAATTAAAATAGTTTGCGAAACTGTGCAACAATTGTAGGAATGCAAAATAATGCCATATTTTGATGGCGTTTTTATTTAAATCATATTACATTTGAACATATTTTAATTTAAATAAGTATGGAACGTTCTGAATTTAATTAAAATAACTGATGAGGTTAAGAGGCTATTTTTAGATTCACATAATTCTTAAAAAAAATAACGAACTATTATGTATAATTTTATTCACGTAACTGTTGAAAGGTGCTCAACTAGTTTCGAGCCAGGCGGCGGCTTATAACCATGAATAGCACTCGCGGCGATCGACATCGAGCTAATTATTGGTCTTCATGCTTAACTAGCTTCCTTTGTATGTTGATAAAAAGTAGCGTGTATATGTATAACATCATGTGTTAATCCAGGGTGTTACCTATCTACATACCTCAACCAAAATGGTCTAGCTGTTTTAGCGTGAAAAAATAACAAACATACATCCATATTTAATAACTAACAAAAACAATATTGATTACCTAATATTGAAAACTAACTACTCCCGCGCGGTTTCTCGCTGCTACGCTCCATTTGATTGTAGCGTGATGTTTTATAGCCTGTAGCACTCGGGAACATTGTAGCTATCTATCAGTGAAAGAATTTTGGCAATCCGACCAGCGGTTCCAAAGATTACCCCCTACATACAAACTTACAGACTTACAAATTTTACCTCTATATAATATTAGTATAGATAAAACTGTTTTCGCTTAGAATGAAAGCAATACTAAGCACTAATTACGAAAATGACATGATTCAGCGTTTATTTTTTTTAATTTCCAATAGAATGAACCACATGTGAATGACGAGTCAAAAACCAGTGAAGTACCTATTGTAAATAAAACTTGTTATTGATAAATCAATTACAATTTCTTTAAGTGTTTATTGAAATATAATATGTACTTATGTGAATCATTGAAATTTATAATTAAAAGCGATTTATCATTAAGTGTTCTTACGGCTAGACTTAACTATCTAAGTACCTACGTATTGTTGATATGATTGTTAATTGATTGAGAATAATGATATGGTTGCTAGATATAAATTTCTAATTTCGAATTCTGAATGGGTCATAAAAGAAAAAATCAAATTTTGATACACTAAGTGTGGTAGAGCCCATGCTTCGACACCAATGGGTCGGCTCGACCGAAGTGATACCACGGCCTCACAGAAAACCGGCGTGAAACAACCACAGCGTTGTGTTCCGCCGTGTGAGTGAGGTTACCGGAGGCCCATCCTTCACCTTCCCAAATACCCTTCTCCAATCCCTAAGTCTCCCAAATGCCTAATCCCCAAAAGGACGGTAACGCACTCGTAACACCTCTGTTGTTGCAAGTGTCCATGGGTGGCGCTGAGTGCTTACCATCAGGTAATCAGTCTGCTCTTTTGCCGATCTATGACAGAAAAAAATACTACCTGAAAATGACTTAAAATACGCAAATACAGCGGCGGGGCAGAAAAGTCGTAATAATGTCTCTTGGCCCCGGCCTGAAACAGGAGAAGGAACGGGGTGTTTTATTTCTGAACGCCTAATCATTTGATTGAATAACTAAATTTGTCATTCAGGCTGTTGACTGTAAGTTGAAGGGTGTAGGATTTGTCATTAAAACCGAGTTGCTTCCAGAATTATAGGTTAAGTTAGATTAGAACTAAGAACCGCATCGCCATCGCAAACAAACAGCAACTCAAATTGTACTGCAATCAAAACGCTAGCTGATTGATTGCGAAACATGCTTCAGCACGATTGAGCCACCACGGCTTCACAGAAAACCGCGTGAAGCAACACTTATGTTGTGTTTCGTCGTGTGAGTGAGGTTTAGGAGGCCTAATTCTTCCCCCCTCCCCACATCCTCAATTCTCAAATGCTTAATCACCCACAAGATGTCGGCAACGCACTTGTGGTAACTCCTTGGGTATTACAAGTGTCCATGGGCGGTGCTGCCAGATTGCGTTCTGCTCGTTTGCCATAAAAAAAACAGTTGACAGCGGCATATCTATCAAGAAATATTTTATACAATGTCTCTTATAGACATTCCCTGTCGATACCTTAGGGGATTTACAACCATGAGATCGCATTGGTACTCTATTTAATATCAGTTGTCACAAGCTCTTCAAATAATCATAAGGGCCATATTAAGCAATGAAATGGGCACTTGAGAGTGCACGCCTATTTATATTGCTTTTACAGACAGATTAGTCATGACTAGGAAGAATTAGTGAACTTAACATGTAGACTAATTAGATCTATTTAGTAATTATGTTTGTGGACGAATTTGGCTAAGGACTAATTAGGTTACATGAACGAAACGCAACGAGCATTGCTTAGTATATTATGCAGAACCATTCGTAAGGTTATCGCCAAGAGTCGTAGGGAATACGTCTGCTCGATTGCGGACCTATACCACAAAAAAAGCTAACTTTGTAGATAATAATGTTTATTCCGTAACTAAAACTAAGCAAAAAGTAACAAAGTACCAAGTTTCATTTGATGGAGTCATTTCAATGAACTTGTACTTCAATGCTTGAATGGAAATTTTGCTCTGCGTAATATCATCATCAGCCTATAAGTGCACATCTGAACAAAGGCTTCTTCTCACACGGAGAAGGTTTGAGCATTCATCACCATGCTTGCTCAAGGTGCATTGGCGTTCAAAGGTTTCCTCACGAAGGAAAACATCGTGAGGAAACCTTTGAAATCGCCAATGCACCGTATGTCAATGGTGTCTAAATAATCATAGAAAGTATATGTAACTCAGAAAAGTCACATTGGTACTCGCTTGGTTGTGAGCCCGCAGCGTTATGCATGCGATGCGGACGCCTTAACCTCCGGGCCACCACGACGTTATCAATAAAATAACTCTCAATCCTTAGATATCTACATATTGTACCTATCATTATAACATTCAATAAAAAATGTTATTTAATTATACGATGTAACATAACAAGTAACATAATCCCTCACATTAATAATGTAATGTTATATTCCTCTTGGTACAAACTTATTATTGCAACTTCAATATTTATGAACTTACAAGTGCATATTAATATCGCCTAGGAAAGTATAAAGAGGATTATTATCACGATCAGCGTTTACAATACATAATAATAACTTGTAAACTGGTTTTAATCTTGTAAGCCAATCTCACTCGGAGTCGCTTTAAAAGATGCATGCACTGTTGTAGACATTCTGCAGGCAGTGGCTTATAACTGGTGTAGTTTTTGTTTTGTTTTTTACTTTCATATTATAATAGGGACGTTAACCTAGCTTCCAATCCTAATCTCTACCCCTCCCCCCATCCCTTCCCAGTTCTTAAATATCCAAAACCCCTAAAAGGCCGGCAACGCACTCGTAACTCCTTTGGTGTTCGGGTGTCCATGGACGGTGCTCATTGCTTACCATCAGGAAATCTGGCAGGTCGTTTGCTGACGGCCTGAAGCAGGAGTAGGAACGATAATAACTTTTAATTGACTTTAATTAATAGTTAAATTTAATTATTAAGTTTAAAATAATTAATACATTTAATTAATAGTTAGTAAAATTCGTAATAAAAAAAAAATTGTAAAATCTATTATCTGACTCTCCTTCTTTTCCATCTCCATCCAGGGTGAGAAAATTAGTTTTAGGATTACACGCCTTTAAAAATAAATTCCATCTAATCCTACCCATATTTATAAATGATAAGTAAATAGGTACTTTGGTCAAATGATCAACAATAAACATTCGGCTTGATCCGAACGAATCCAACGAAAGCTGGCATGTTCAATTAAAACAATTTATACATTTTTATCGCAAATTCTTTTCAGTGATAATTTTAAAAATAATCAAAATTGTCTAGTCGATTATCTGAACAGATTATAATCATCAGACTCATCAATTACATTTTCAAAAAAAAAGATAAATAAATTGGAATCTACTTATGCAATAACATGATAAGTTTTCGTCATATTTGTCTTAAAGAAGGATTTATTGTTCGGATATTACCAACTAGCTACTATCGCGCAGTTTCAACCCGCTGCTCTACTCCATTTGATCGTAGCATGATGTTTTGTAGCCACTCAGTAACATTGTAGCTACCTATCAGTGATTTTTTTTAATCCGACCAGCGGTTCCAAAGATTACCACCCTACATACAAACTTACAAATTTTACCTCTTTAGGTATAATATTAGTATAGACTACACTTATTTTGCCAATCTTTCGTTTGAGCTTGTCTGTTTTAGAGTCATATAAATAAATAAAATACTATGTAATATATATAATCTACAATGTTTATTTAAATGAATTACTACATACTATAAAACAAAGTCGCACTCTCTCTCCCCATATCCTTATGTATGCTTAAATCTTTTAAATTACGCAACGGATTTTGATGTGCTTTTTTCAATAGATAGAGTGATTGAAGAGGAAGGTTTATTAGGCGCATTAATAACATCCTCAAAACAGTGGAAAAATTAATAACAGCGCTGTACCCGTGTGGAGCCGGGGCGGGTCGCTATAATAAATTATTAAAAAAAAAAGCTTTTTTATTATTTATTATAGCATCTATCAATGTTTTATCCAATTAGATTATAACAATCTTACTAATATTATTAAAAATGATCAAAAAAAGTTTGAAAAGTTGAGAAAGTTACGATGTTCTGATGTATGTTACTCAATCACGCCATAACGGCTGGATGGATTTGAATGAAATTTGGCACAGGCAAAGAATGGTAAAGGTATTCTCCGGAATAGGACATAGGCTACAACAATAGGCGTCAACGTACCAAGGAGCGAAGCCGCGGGCAGAAGCTAAGTTTAAATTAATTAAAAAAAAATCTTTTCTTTCTCGCAGACCAATCGGCATGGCCAGGAAAATGCAACGCGGGAGTGGGCCAGTCTCCAATCAACATTATGACCCAAGACGCTATAGTGGACAAGCATCACGCCCACATTCGAGGCCCTCTAGTCTTCCGAGGATACAACGATGTCTCGCTGTACGGGTCCAACAATGGACATACAGGTTGGTACTAGAATCTGATAAACTTTTTAAAGCATTTGAATTTTTTAAGACTGTATTTTTCACCTGATAGTAAGCAATCGGCATGGACATCTGCAACAATGACAAAGCCAAAGGATGAATGAGTACGTTTTCGACCTCTTGGAGACTGAGGTTATGGAAATTAAGGCAGGTGAAGAAAAATTGGGCTTTCAGTAGCCTCGCTCATTCGGCGAAACACAATTCTGTGACTATTTCACGCCATTTTTCTGTGATGTCGTTGTATCACTTCGGTCGGGCCGACCATTTGTACCGATGGCTCTCCCATTTTGAACAGTTGTGTTATGATCGGCTGGAAGATGACCTCTGGAGAGCAAAAACAGCGTTTATTTAAAGGTATACCAGAATTCCCCAGCTTAACAGGGAGCTTGTAGTTCTCAATTGGGTCACCGAGATATTTGAGGGTTTATTGCCTGTATGTTTAGGTCGGCAGCACCCTTGTATATCTTAGTGAGTCGGACTGTCTGATCGCAGTCTTCAACCATGGATGTGTTATTTTTTCGATTAAAATAAATACTAGCATATTTTATGAGTTTAAAATTTCAATCACAAAACACTACATTAAGCATCAAAAAGGACATAAATGAGCCATCGAAAAAAACAAAATATTAGAACTGTAGAAAAATTTATGACACTTTTAAAATGTCAGAATATTTAAAGAGAATAATGTAAGGGAGTGAAGGAAATAGGGATAGGAAATTAAAGGGAAATGAAGTTCCGGTATGTCTGTGGTGTGGGTGTTTGTGACGCTGCTCCATGACTTGGGTTTAATTGAAGGTTTTATGGGTCGTTTAGAAGCAAGCCAGACCGTCAAGAAGATTAGGAGTCGGAGTAGCTATTCCAGGATCGAAAAAGTTTTATGAAACTTTCATATATACCTACTCAATTAAGGAAGCGCATTACGGGACTTTATAAGGGCACTTGGATTTATTTATGGAATACTTTGGCATGTAAGCTGACGGATTACCTGATGGTAAGCAATCGATACTGCCTATGGATACTCGTAACTTCATAGGAGTTACTACAAGTGCGTTGCCGGTCTGTTGATGGTTATTTTAGGGATTTACGATTAGGGGATTTAGGGATTGAGGATAAGGGAAGGGATAGGGCCTCGTTTAACCTCACTCAAATGGCGAAATACAACGTAAGCTTTGTTTCACGCCGGTATTCTCTGAGGCCGTGGTATCACTCTGGTCATGCTCGCCTATTCACGCCAAAGCATGGCTCTCCCATACTCTCGGGATATTCATGAACTCAGTTTTACAACGAAACGAGTTCTTTCAATTATAATCGGCCACTATTAAGTGAAACATAATATTAAACATTTTTTCTATTTCAGTGAAATGGTCTGGAGTTGCCGGTGGACCAGCACCAATTCTGTCTGGTGGTCCTCTCAGAGGGAACTACACCTTCCTGCAGTTCCACTTCCACTGGCTCTCAGAACACGCCATTGATGGAATGAAGTAAGTTTTAGACCTAAATCCGTAGCATTTTCTCTATTTGCTTAAGAATAGAAGGCCTCCTTTTTTAATCATTAGATCAATTTAAAAGACCGCATTAGATCTGTGATATGACTGACGGAATTTAGGTGTAAATATCATTTGAAAATTGCCTTGACATTTAGGGAAAAATATCCAGTAAAACAACAGCATACAAGCATATACACACATTTTTATTAGCTATACCCATAAATAAATTCACCAATACATAATAAGAAAATATCACCAGAAAAAAGTATTGCAAGCTTTGAAAACTTGTATAGGGATGCCATAAGCGAAAGCTAAGTAACAACTCTTTTCATCGGGCTATCTTTTCACGAATCTTTCAGCTGTAAAAGCGTGACCTTTGCCCTTTCACCTTTTCAGTACGTTTCCCTTTCTCTCTTAACGAGGCTAGCTACGTGACTCCGCATGTTGACAGTAGTAGGGGCCAACTACATACAGTTCTCTGAAACGGTTATTCGTTATAAAAGTTATTTAAATTTCGTTCTTTTATAATTTCGGTTTCTAATCTCTAACATTTTGGAAGGCATTCGAAATTCAATTTTTTAAAATTTGGTATTTAAAAATACCAATGCTAACTTATTATGTTTGGCACAGACTAAGAATTAGTTCGACAGTAAAATTTCGCTTCGGAGAATCGTAATAGACCACCAGTTTTTAGCAACGTTAACTTTATACATAATGGTTAAATATCCAACAAAACTGTTGTTATTCGGCAAAACGTTATTTGTGTTTACAAAAGCTGTGAGTTTTGTTAATTGTTTGCGTTTCAATTTATTACGTTAGTTATTTTGTTTTAAATAGAATTATTAGGTTATGTTAACAGTCTACCTAATTGGTTTGCATTATCTGTGGACATCGTTCGATTGTTTAATTTTCGAGTACTTACCTATATTGTTACTCGTAATAATTTTCCTCAAAACAAAATAACTACTCAATAAATCGTAACTTTGACTTTATCGTTTTTGAAATAAGTCTACCATTGATAAGTAAATGTCGTATAGAATGTTTGCTATCTCTTTTTTAAAGTATCCTATTTCAACAATCACTGCTAATAAAGATTATATTTCGTATTAATTAATTAATTCAAAGTGCGTTGCACCTGCATCAATTGATTCGGGACATTTTATAAACCTTGATATTGTGATAAAAATGTAATTATGTAATAATTAAAGGCGTTATCATAATTATGACATAGGTACAAGATAACCTCAGGTACTTACGCCAATTAATTGTTTCCAAAAATTTTGTTTAAGCGAGCTAGATTTAATTGAATAAAATATTGATATGAATTAACTAGCGACCCGCCCCGACTTCGGACGGGTGCGATACTGATAATAAATTTCTCAACTATTTAATGGATGCTATTTTACGTATAAACCTTCCTCTTGAATCACTCTGTCTATTAAAAAAGCCGCATCAAAGTCTATGCGTAATTTTAAAGATTTAAAAAGCATACATAGGGATAACCCTATGTCCGTAGAGAGTGTTTTATACTATATATGTATACTGATAGGTATACCTACTATAGGCTTCAGTGCGTTAAATAACAGTGTAGCATTTTATCACTTTTGGAAAATGAAGAATTATATTAAGCCTTCTCTTGAGGGTAATATCGAGAGACGAGATACTTCTCGCTGAAGCTGAGACTGGAGATCCTCTCCAACTGACTAAAAACCATCTCGTTCCAACTCCTTCTCCTAGCTTAGCCGCAGTACCTATCATTACACTTGACCTGCAACCATTACATGCCTGTCTACAATGGAATGTTCTCGAACAAATCACTACCAAAATATTCAAAAGAGATTTTAACCTTAAACAAATGATATTGTGCGATATTATGTCACTTAGATAAGCGGCCATCAGTAGAGTTTGTATAGACATTGCTCGTTTGCTTAGCGGCGTGTGAGTGGCATTTATTTGTCAACTAAATCCCAAAATCTGATGTCGGCGAGATGTGTAACTAATAAAACAATTTGTTTGCGCACGTGGACTTCTATTGATAAACTTTGACTAATTATTTAGGAGGAAATTTTCCTTCTTTTAAACACAGTTCGGAAATGTAAAGGAAAAGAAATAAAAAGTTTTACATTCCTCCATACAAAGGTTGTCTGGAAGAGTTTGTACTCATGTTTGTTTGTTTTTATTTTTTTCATGTTGTTGTCCTAATGGTGTACAATAAAGAATAAAATAATAACAATAATTACGACCCCACGGACCTGACTCCCGAGAGGTGTCTTGTTCTTCCCTCTCCGGTTAGTCCTCGTGACGAGCTGGAGTGAACACTGATGAAGAACAAGCCCTCCTACCTCATTCTTGCCTTAATTGGCTGGCTTGAGTAAAGATTCGCAAGAGTAGGAGTTGAAGGAGACTCGGGGGAAGGATGTATCTCAGTAAGGTGCTGGTAGGGGTCTTGACCGTACTTCCGGGATTGCTCTGCTGTGGGATGCCTCTCCTTCCCCAAGCAGCTCAACGTATGGTGCCTCCGTGTCGCTACATACTAGCGGCCGTTTCCGGGGGACCATTAATTGAGTTTGCCAGTCACCCCCTGCCTGTTTATCCGTATGTATCAATATTGGTCAGGGGCAGGGGCCATAGTATTTCCATAGTTATCATATCCACCAGTCCATAGCAACCCATATTCATAACCCTATCAATTTTTACCACATTTCACAATAGTCTTGCATCAACCGGGGATTGTCCTTGGATGCACTTTCATAGTGCATACAGGGATAATTTCCGGCTGATGTCCCATTTCACATATATTAAAGTTGTTCAAAGGACCTCTGCGAGTTGGCTTTCGCCCCTCGTACGCCTTCCAAAAGACCGCGTGAGACCCGTGAGTGTAAAGGAACATACAAAAGAATAATGACTTTCTTTATAAAAAGTAGAAAGAGAGAAAAAAACCCGAGATAAAAATAGATTAAATATTATCAATTGTATAAAACAAACGAACTAACTTGTTTTATAGCATGAATTTGCAGTTAATTAGGTATGATATACTTACACTTGTTATTATAGTATTTGAACTGTTATAGTTAAACATTACATCAGTGAGTTCATTATTTGTAGATGCTAATATTTCAATAAGAAAATCTATCTCTATAAAAATTAAAATTTCATAAAAATCTTCATATAGTTTTACTATAATCCTAAACCTTTTCCTGAATACTTCTACCATCTTTAAAAAACAACCTTTTTCCTTGAGGTCGGAGTCTTTTTCCCGCCCAGGGTATAGCGAGAGAAGTGTCAAATTTACTTAAAAACCCCCTGTCCTTCTCCAGGACACTTCCGCCGAGAACCTGCTGAATTAATTCGAATGTTTTCATAGCACTCACCTGAAAAAAAAATGTTATGAAAACATTCAAATTGATTGAATAGGATTTTTTATGGTTACATCGAAAACCTAAAATGGACTTTAATTCAGTTGTTACCAATTATTGAAGAAAACGAAAGAAAAATGTTAGCTTTTTAAAAAGAAAAGTTACCTATATTAATGAACGTTTTCTCCCTCAGGTACCCTCTGGAAGTCCACATGGTCCACATTAAGACTGGTCTGACTCTCGACGAGGCTCTGTCGCGACCCGATGGACTGGCTGTCATTGGGGTCTTTTTCATGGTAAGCGTTGTTTAGATGTAGAACTGTTATTAAGTAGTGTAGTAATATTCTTCGGACACTTTTTCTTGTCAATAAAAGACCTGGATCTTAATTTATTGTGATCAAAAGATTAGTAGATCAAAGTATTTTCTAGAACAGTTGGATTATTTACCAATCCTACTTATTTCTCAGAGCACAAGAACTATTATTGTACATCATTACGTATTAGGTATAGAAACTTTTCAACGAAAAAAATCAATACGATTATAATTTATCTACACACCTTTCAGATATAATTTAATAATGAATTTTATGAATAATAGTATCTCATGAAAATTAACTGTTGCTTTCACAATAGAACATATTTTTAATCTCCTTATCATCCTCTTCGTAGATGCACAGAGGGTATGGTAGTGATCGTGCTCTAGAGGAGATCATACCAATGATGCCCTACATTGTAGACAGCTCACAGAACAACACTGAACCACGAAGAATTGATATTACGTAAGTACAAGATTATTTGCTAATGAACAACGAAATTCTAAATATAGTCACTGAAATTTTCTAACCGGCAGATAATTCAATAACCTTTTACCTACCTACCTTAAAAACTAGTGAACAAAACAGACTATAACTATTGCTGGAAAATAGATTAGGTCATTGGTTCTTACAACTGATCTAACATAGATGAAGATTGACACCTAATTGTTCGAACTAGCAGTCCAATAAAACTTGATTTCTTTCTTTTCATATCTAGCCCTACGTTCTCTCGATCGTGAATGTCTTCCTTTACTTTATGTATTATTAAACTTAATCGACCAATATTTCTTCTCAAATCTAATGTTCTCCGTAACAAAAGCCAAAAGGAAACACAAATTAACAACACCTATCACTTTTGGTGATTCTAATTTAAAAACTCTTCGAAATCTTTGATTAGCCATTGAAATTTAAAGAAAAATGCGGAACAGCTGTTAACATTCAAGAAGTAGATACAGAATAAGTACCGTACCGTTAAGGTTAAAGGGACGGAACAGAATAGTGGAACTAATGTTAAGGGCTCAAAACAATAGAAGGTACTTTTAGTCGCGCTTAAACAATAAACGAATCAAGCAAACTCCGAAGAATTCCGATGACCTTCGGAATTCCATTTTAGTAGCTCACGTAATGCTAACAGATCCAATTTGAGGGGATAGTGTAGTAGAATAAGAAAAAGGTGCAACGGTGTTAAATTTGGAGATTACAACAGTCTAAGCAGATAAGAAAATAAAGATAGTCTCAATGCAGTAGCTATCGTTTCACGATATGGTTATTAAATGAAGCCGTTAAATAAAAAATAAAATGTTTCCTGTTTCTTACTGGTGGTTCTACCATAAAAATTCTTTGTCCAACAGACGCCTGCTGAGCAATGAACCTCAGTCATACTACACGTACCATGGCTCTCTCACTACTCCCATGTGCCAGGAAGTCGTCACATGGATCGTCATGGACAAACCAATCTTCATTTCTCCTGATCAGGTAAGAATACCTAGACTTGTCTTATATAGATCTTTTAGTTCTTTCCGTGGAATCAATTTTCTAAATAAGGTTTAAATCAGAGCATATTGTCCTAGAAAATTACTTTAGACCACGTTGAACGCCATGTAGGCCACGCTAGCGGAGGTCTTACCCTCGACAGAAATCAGAAAAAAAAGCTTCTAAATACCTTAGGGTCAGGCTTGTAACTTTTTTTTATGGTGTAAATCGGCAAACTAGCAGACAGATTACCTAATGGTAAGCAATCGGCGCCGCCCATGGACACCCGCAACACCAAATGAGTTACGAGTGCGTTGCCGGCCTTTTGGGGATAGGGGTTGCGGATAAAAGGAATGGGAAGGGATAGGAGAAGGGGAGGGATTGGGCCTCCGGTGACCTCACTCGCACGGCGAAACACAACGCTGGGTTGTTTCACGCCGGTATTCTGTGAGGCAGTGGTATCACTCCGGTCGAGCCGACCCATTCGTGCCGAAGCTTGGCTCTCCCACACTTAAACTGTAACTGTTCAAATTATACGTTTTATTAACAGTTGAAGTTCCTACTACTAACGAAATGGCGGTCCCATTTTAACCTTTTTTTCTTTCGTCCTCCAGTATGCATTATTTACCAAGACCGATGTGGGTGGTGACTACAACTACCGCAGTCTGCAGCCGAGGAACAACAGAGTGGTGTACCGCTCCATAGCCTCATGTGCCTCCATCATGGCTCCCACCATCCCCGGAACCCTCATCAGCCTCTTCTCCTGCCTCTCAACTTCCCTAGCAGCAGGAGTCAACAAGGGCGTAGGAGCATTTCTGAACATCAAGAGGAAAATTTTCGGTTCATCTGCCAAAAATTGCGTGAAGGCCAAATAAATGTAGTGGAAGTTATCTAGAGAATTCAAAGGTATTGTGAATGTGCATATATTGGTTGTACCGAAATAATCCTTACGGAGTAAGGTCTAAAGACATCTGTTGTATGAAAAAAACTCAGAGGACTTTAAACGCTTGAAGCGCCATCTAGAAAGAGCAAAAACGGTCCATAGTCGCCAAGAGCCTAATAGTTAGCTATTAAGCTGCCAAATTAAGTAGATAATAGGTCTATACTGTGAAGATGGAGGAAACATCTAAGGTAACTAATTTTTAAAAGTGCCATGAATATGCTTTACTAATGACAAGTTTTCCCATCTTTTGCAGTGTAGATTTTTGGTGTATAGGTAGGAGTATAGATGTAGAATTGAAGTAATTTCTAGGAAATTTTGTTTAACAATTTTATCCGAATCAAGAAGATTATAAGATTATAAATTTAATATGCTTAAATTAATCATTATTGTCGGTCGCTGATACCGCTAAAAACCAAGATACGCTAAGTTCAGCAAATTTGAAATATCCAGCTGTTCAGCCTGAAGTAAATACTTGGTATCGACACCTTATCACTGATTTCTAGTCATCAACTATAATGATTATTTAATCTCGCTTAATTATTCACGAGTCGATTAAATAATTTTTTAAACATTTCATATGTTTAAAAAATAATTTGCTAATATCATCCTTTCTGATTATTATGTAATTCGTTCTGGATTACAATAGTTATTGTTCCGCGTTTATGATTTTAAACAATCCTTGATATAGACTGTTTTATTTATAATATTTTACTGTGCGTTTGGCGCAGTCTAGAAGATATATAGGTACACTACACTAAGGCCTGATTTTTTCAATGGTTAGTGGTAAATGTTATCTGTGGAATAATTATGATGCTGTCGCCTCAGAATCTTTGTATAAGACAGTGACAGCAACAATTTTATTCCTCAAATAACATTTATCTGACCATTCAAAAAAAAGCAAAAAATAATAACAAACTGGTTAAAATTCCATTCACTCAAAGCCAAATTGGTTATTGAGGATTTATAAATTAAAATAACCATTGTTAAGATTGATTTTGGAATGCGAAATCTTGATAAAACACGTGCATAAAAAATTAAAGTTAAAATCAAGATTATATCTTAGTAGGTACGATAGGATCAAATAAATACAATACACGTGCGATTTCATGAAGTAATGACGAACGTATTTGATAAGACTGCGCTAATTAATCATCAGAATGAATCTTATAAGCTATTTCATACATTGATGACTAAAATAAATATTGATCATGACATTGAGGTTATTGATTTATAAAAAGACTACAACATTAGTCCAATAATTTGGTCATTAATTGGGTCACTTTCAGCAATATGCAAAGTATCGCAAAAACAAGGGCTATTATTTTATAAGATAGGGCAGCTAGCAGCGAACGATCCTACGGTAGCATCGGTCGATCATTTTATCAAAGGAGTTACGAGTGTGTTAATGACCTTTTGATGATTAGGGATTCGGAGATTTAGGGTTTGGTCGAGCGTGAAAAGATTGTGTCTTCGATAACCTCACTCACCCGGTGGAACACGGTTGTTTCACGCCGGTTTTCTGTAAGGCCGTGGTATCACTCCGGTTGATCCGACTTATTCGTGACGAAGCGTGATTCTCCCAATCTTTTGTTGTGCTACCAGAGTCTATGTATGTTATTGTCATAAAACTTTTAACTTAACTTTATGTCAGTAAGCAGTAAAGTTGAATATCAAAGTAAAACTAAAACGATCTGTAATACCTACATAATTATAACTTATTTCATGAAATCGTACATATAAATATTACTATACCTAAATGTAAATACATATTATTAGTTTTAGAAAGCTCTTATTATTATTATTATTTATTTCTAAAATATGGTCACATATCATTTAGTGACACCTGCTCAAGGTCACAATCTTTGCTAGCAAAATCATTATCAGATTATTATAATAATATCTCTGTTATAACGATTAATATTATCTTAGGCTACGAGATTATGACAATGTAATAAAACACTAATATGTTAATAAAAATGATTTATTAATGCAATAATTTATTTTTATTGCATTTTATTTTGTGTGCGTGATATATTTAATCTTAAATTAAGATATTATAATTCATCGAATGCTTTTATTCTTTGTAGATATAATAAAATTTAGTAATTGAATTATTATTTTATGCTACAAAATAAAATAATTATTAAATTGGCATAAATTTAATTATTGGAATAATAAATCATCGTTGTTATTATTATTGTTATTTTGAAATGTTCTATTATTAATAAATAAATAGGCTGTGAATTGAACGTTTGTAAATCGAGTGTGTGATAATTATGTTCGAAACTATTAATTTAATTAAAAATGTACAGTATATCATAGTTATGAAAACTCTATTAAAAATAGATAAAATTAAAAATATATGTATTTAATGATACATTTACTTCTTTCATTATTTTTATTTTACCTACTACTAGCAGTCTGGCCCGACTTCGCACGGAAGTCCTCGGCAACGACAAAAGGTTTTGTTTTTTATTCATAAGTACCTTCTCCTAACTCTAACAAACACAACAAAAATAGGTTTAACGAAATTGGCCCAGCTGTTGCTGAGTTATGAGCTTACAAACACATTTTTTTCATTCATTTTTATATAAGATGTATGTGTACTAGCGGACCCGACAGACGTTGTCCTGCATATGATATTTCTAGCGATTACCTTGGTTATAAAAAATATAACGCCATAATATGTGTGAAATATTGCAAAGAGAAAACTCGAAAACATGCGCTTCCCCAGCCGCAAGACTGAGCTAGATCAATTTCTCGACCCCGAAAACCAATCCCCCACATATCAAATTACAGCGAAATCCTTGGGGCTGTTTCCGAGATCACATGCTTTTTCAAGCAATTAGCACCATCTGCCTGGCTGATTTGTAAATCTGAACCATCCATGGCGCCACTCAAACGCATACAGAAAAAAAAATCGGTCAAGCCGTTTATGAGGAGTTTAATTACATGCACACGTATACCAGAATTATTTATATAAAGATAGATAACATTGTTTCTTTATCATTCATCATTTATCGATCAATCATATTGCATTTTACAGCAGTGCCTGGCTTAATTTGATAACTAGGTACTCTTGCGCGTTTTCACCCGCTGCTCGGCTCCACTTGATCGTAGCGTGATGTTTTATAGCCTACCTATAGAACTCAGGAACATTGTAGCTACCTATCGGTGAAAGAATTTTGGCAATCCGATTAGCGGTTCCAGAGATTACCTACCCCCTACATGCAAACTTAAATATTTAACCTCTTTATAATATTAGTATAGATAATGACAGTCTGACGTAAATTAACTGAGGAAAGCTCTGCTAGACTCACAACTGTTTATCCAAACTAATAATAATATTATAAATGCAAAAGTAACTCTGTCTGTCTGTCTGTCTTTTCTTCACGCCTAAACAACTAAACCGATTTCTTTGAAATTTGGTACAGACATCGTTTGTAACTGGAGAAAGGACATAGGATAGTTTTTATATCAAAAAATCTGCAGGAAGTCACTATTCCACGCGGACAGAGACGCGGGCAAAAGCTGTTGAATATTATAATAGTCCCGTTGTGTCTTTTAACAAGTATAGTACAGTAGATTAATTAATTTCTTATAAATACCGCCTCATTTTTGGAGTCGGTATGAACCGGCTTTCTATCATGTAGTACAAAAGGCTACGGACTGATTGTTTCTTACTTAAAAAAACTAGCTAAAATACCTTATCGACCAAATATGCTGTAAGCATAATATACAACTTCTATGTAGAACAACAACACAAGAACAAGAAAAAAGGAATACTAATAGTATAAGGTAAATAAATACCTAATATTTTTCACAAAGGTAAGCTAGGTAACCATACTATTCCAACCAAATTTACAAAACCCACTTAAACAATTAGAAAATCTTAAAACATCAGCTACACGAAATTGAAAAAAAATGCATCTCCTTATAAAAACAACAATCGAATCGTCAATTCAATCAATAATGCATCAATCATCGCTATCAAGGAATCATCAATATTGATCGATAATTATGCCAAATTATTTATTTTACATTTTTAATCTTCTTCAGTCATCATGATCTTTCCTTTCCTATCTTATCTCTGAAGGACATATGTCAGACTCTTTTATATACAGATTGACTTTGTATATTATTCTAACGCCCCGCCCAGGACCCACGAGCGCAATCATCATCATTGGCCTAATTTCGTCCACTGCTGAACATAGGCCTCCCCAATTGCACGCCACTGAGCTCGATGTTCAGCTCTTCGCATCCAACCACTGCCAGCCACCCTGCGGATATCGTCAGTCCACGGGTGCAATTCTGGTACAAAATATCTCCACAAATTAATGAATATTATTATACATATAAACCGTCCTCTTTAATCACTTTCTATTAAAAAACGAAAACTCACAGAAAACCGGCGTGAAACACAGCGTTGTGTTTCGCCGTGTGAATGAGGTTACCGAAGGCCCAAACCTTCCCCACCCCCAATCCCTCCTCAATCCCAAAATCTCCAAATCCCTAATCCCTAAAAGGTCGACAACGCACTCGTAACTCCTATGTTGCGGGTGTCCATGGCTGCCCGATTGCCGATCGATTACATAAAAAAAAATACCTTACATATGTAGTTTAAAAACTAAGGAATACATAGGGATATGTGTTTTTAATAGATAGGACGGATGTTTTTTTTTTGTATGTGGAAAATCGTCAAATGACTTCGACCAGGTTGAGGAGAGTGTCAGAGAGGGAGTTTTGGACTCTTACTGACTAAAAAATACCATTCCTTCTTCTGCTCTAGGCCGAGGTGGCCGTACTCTATTGCGCTTGCCCCGCAACCCTGGATGAATGGACTGATGATAAGGTACCTATTTAAAGCTATGAAGTCATGATATTACCATCCAAGCAAACTATAAATTCAGTTGAAAAACGACACGACATTATGTATGAACAGATTAATTCGATACCTATTTAATTTCCGAGACATCTGTATAATTATGATAAAATTTTAAAATTAACAAGATAATTTTCACCTAGTCATAACCGGTAGAAACTGGATCGGACGAGTCTGATCTAGATAGCGCCAAAAACCCATTCTAACGCAAGAAAATATAATATTGCCCTATACATTGAAAAAACAAGTATATGTATACCCTGGCAAATGCTGTCTATGTTTCAATTGAATGTAGTTATTATAAACTCATCCACCAGACAGGAGATCCTAACGCAGAGAAGCATCCATTACTCAAGTATGGCGAAATAAAACGGAGACTTATGACATTCAAAGTATTACCACAATTTGACATTTTAAGTAGGGGAGAGTAGAGCCAAACTTCGTCACGAATGTGTCGGCTCGACCGGAGTGATACCACGGCCTCATAGAAAACCGGCGTGCAACAACCACAGCGTTGTGTTTCGCCGTGTGAGTGAAGTTACCGGAGGCCCAATCGCTCCCCCTCCCCCTTTCCCCAATCTTGAATTATCCGATACCCTTATCCCCAAACAGGCCGGTAACGCACACGTAACTACTTTGGTGTCGCGGGTGTCCATGGGCAAATCTCATAAAAAAAACATTTGGCAGTATGTTACGCATTTACCTACAAGTATTCGTTAATTAATGCCTTATTGTCAGGGAAAGGAATGATGCATTCATAGACATTGGCTACATAGCTCATAATTATCGGTAACAATAGGTACTGTTTCGTGTCTCTTTAAATACCAAACTTTTATTAAATATTTCT